AAATAAAACTGAACTAAGTTAAGGGAGAAAATAGCAAAGCATCTACTTCAGGTAATTTCATTAAGTGTTTGCCACCAAAGGACAAATTTCCACAGAAAGACAAATACTCTATGCTAAGATTTCTTGCAGGAAAGAATATAAATGTCGTTTTTTTTTTTTACGTCACTGGTCTATCTTCAAATTGAATTTTCTATTAAACTGACAGCTTGCTTGAGAAGAAGTTTGTTCTTTTTTTTTTCTCTCTTTTTTTTTGAAATTTATCATCCATTGACGAATAGGTTTTAAATTAAACATTATATAAATCGATCTTACTCACTATCAGGTAAAAAACCAAGTATAAAATCGGGGCATGTAGAATATGCTATATCACCAGCAGGTGTGTCGTTCCAACAGCTCCATCCATCAAATGTCCCCGTGCAATATTCACCTAAAAATAAATAATTCCGCAAGAAAATAATGTATATAAATCACTAAAAAATATAAATAATCTTAACTAAGTTCACACAGGATAAGTTAATTACCTGTAAAAGTTTTACTTGTCGACACTAATCTTTTTATACACTGTTCGTAGGCGGTTGATAACTTTGAATTATCTCGAGGAGGTTTATCCAAGTTGGAAAAGTTTTCAATTAATTCTTTTAATCTTTTTTGTATCCCTAAATACTAAAGATAAATAAATTCCTTAATCCTAATTTAGTATATTGAATTGCTCTTCAGTTGATAAAGATCTTAAATTATTTTTTTGTATCCTTTATCTAACCTCATTAAGGTCAAACGAGCAGGAATCATAATTTGCAATTTCTTCTTCTTTGTAATTAGTTTCCCATTGCCCGTTCCATAAACAATTCTTCAATGCAGTTCCTGAGACGAACAATTTCTTGGTTTATTATATTTTAATCATTTAACTAAAAAATAATGGTTATTACACGTTGTAGAAAAGAAAAATCTCTAATAATATCAATGGATAGTCTACATGATATATGAATGAAACGTCATTAATTCGATTAATATAGTTTCTACACGCTATAATCTTAATTAATATACGTCATTAAATATAAATCTTTGTGTTTTTTTATTAGAAAATATAATTTCTTATAAAAACTTATGATATTTAGCTTCAAAAACGTATCAAATAAGTGTAAAAATATATAAAATAAATTTAAAAAGTCTTCATTTCACATAGCCATTAATAGAAATATAGTTTTAATATTCATCATCAATTAAGAAGAATCTATTAACGTAAATATTTTGCTAGTATTTAACTTCACTAATTTTAAATTAATTTATTTATAATGACTATTTTTAAAGTGATAAAAACCTGTTGAACGTTTGTGTTGACCTAGAGAAGGGCATGGCATAGATGCTTGATGTCCAGCTTTGGTTATATTCCAACAAATCCAGCCATCAAAAATGGCAGGACAGAATATCTCTATAAATAAATAAAAATGATTTAGAAGTACATTCTCTCACTTTTTTAGCTTTTTACTCATATATCTACTTACTTTTTATTCTCTATTGGTTCAGAAGTGGATAAAACATTAAATAATTCAAACTCGTTGTGTTCAAAAGTCTGTGATCTCCACTACTTTGCACCATTTCTTGTGGTGGCACAAAGCCCACAAACATGAGGTGTAGTACCTTTCTGCAGTATGTTGTGGAGCTTATGCCACCATACAGTCAGAGGCATTGCTGTGACTGGTGGCACAAAGCCTACAAACATGAGGTGCAGCACCTCTCAGCAATATGTTGTGGAGCTTCGTGCTACTATACAATCAGCGGCATTGCTGTGATTGGTGGCACAAAGCCCACAAACATGAGCTATAGAACTGTCAGTAATGCCACTGCTTGTATGTATCATTCGCAGTAAATATTTACTTTAATTGCTTTAATATTTAAAATACTCCAAGTGTTCTTGCCACATTTGTCCGCATTCATCTACAGTTCTGTTTCTTTCACGTACAAACGTCACCGGTACTTTTGGACACGTGCGTATATCTAACACCACCCCACTACAATACCCAAACTGTAGGAAGAAAAGTTTTTGAGTAATACTCGGTTGAAACGTACATTTTGAACACATCAAGTATGAAGCAATTCATGTTTTTCTATCATGTAAATCATAAAAAATATTAGAAAAAATTAATTACCATTATTATTAAACTGATTAGCAATTTGTCGGCATTCCCAATATAATTCAATTTGTTGTAATAAAATCTCTTCAATTAATTTATTTTTCTGTTCCTGATATTCACGTTCTGACTTTGTGATCTTATCAGTGTGCGGTTGCAGGCTCTAAATATAGAGATTTGTATTATTCAATTATGATAAAAACAAATTTAACCACTTAAAATATTAATAATATCATTAAAAGTATTCTTACTTTGACAAAATATAGAGATATAAACATGTAGAATATCGTTTTCGTGTTTCTAAATATAAACATCCTTTCTAGAGAAAAAGAAACATTTTTACATATTAGTTACAAACTTGCTCGCCAGATGACGCTTATAGCGTTAGACATTTTAAAAACAAAGCGCCATTTTAGTATTTTTAAATTTTATTATTTAAATAAATTTTTCTTTAAAAAAATTAATTAATTATAAATTCTAATAATNATTCAATAAAGGGAAAAGTTTAAAAAGAAAAGTACACTACAGTAAAATTTAATACTCGTGTAATGCTAAAGATTCTTTATAGAAGCGCCTCACGTCCTGTAACGAAGGATTATTACTTTACAGTGTTGCCTGTTTCCTATTTAATATAAAAGGCATACTTTAGTGTAATATTTGTAATATATAATCTATTAAATAAAATTAAAATCGTTGTATTTTACTTACACTCTTCTAAATCGAAGGGGGTCCCTGTAAAAACTGCTGCAGAAATATCCAAAAAATTTGTATTAAAAATTAATATTTTTTGGGTCTTCCATCGTAAAAATACTTTGTAAAGGTATATTAACTACAAGATTACACTACCTTCTATATAAAAGGCTGTATGAAAGCTTAAATTTACGAGTAAAGTAGTTTTTCCTAAACAAAATCGCCTGAAAAATGCCAAAAATTTTACGTGTTATATATACAAAACTTGTATTTTTAAATTAAAAAATAAAAGTAATAATAATACTTTAAACGTCATTAAACATGCAAATTACTACACTAAACATTGACAGTTTTATGGAATATTAATTACTGTACTGATCATTTACAGTTGTATATTAACTGGTTTAGAACACTGGTTTCTCTTGTACTAACCATTCATCTAACTGCTAAACAGATGGTTTTCAGTAACATTTGCTGTATCGTAATGGCTTTCACTCGTTTGTTTTCTCATCACGATTGCTTCTTCACGACTTTGGATGAAAAATTCAGACAGTAAGATACCAACAATGTACTAGATATAAAGTATATATTATGGTAAATTATGCTGAATAATTCCATACGTCACACTATAACAACCGCAGCAGGGGCACAATTGAACAATTAAATGTTATATTGTTTGCTTTAAGTACTCGAACAAACAATTTATAAGGTTATATTATGTAGTTTTAACGTCGATAACCTTACTTTTAAGTGCATTTTTCTTAAATTACAGTTGCTAAGATACAAATACTTTTATCGTAGTTACAAATATTAAAAGGAATTTTTTAATATTAGCAAACATTATTTTACATAAATCCTTTAAAAAAATAAAATTTGTAAGAAATACTCGTTAAAATATTTTAAAATCCTTTATAATTACAGCGAAAAACCTGTCTAAAACAGAACCCGAATACAGGAA